TCAAAAGTCGAATCCTTAGAATTTTATCAAATATATCCCGTTATCCAAAATAATAAAATGCTCACACCTTCATACCCATACTTGGCACGCAACAAAGAAGAAGTCCAATTGAAAAAAGAAGAATGCCCAAAACTTGAAAATACCTACTATTGTTTACAAGATTTTATCCCGAGGGATAACTGTACTTTACAACTTCTCGACGGCCAGTTACCAGAAGGATGCTACGCCACTGAAGTAAATTTGCAAGAATCAATATTCGAACAAGTTGCTAGCAATCAAATCATGATTGTTCCCAAAGAACCAGAAAACGTTAAGTCGTATTGTAGAAGTAACCAAATTTTCAAATTTCAGAATCCAACCCTTATTCGCATTCCAGAAGGCTGTAAAATCACGTCAAGAGATTTTACATTTTCAAATGAACAAGAAATTCAAAAGGGAAAAACGCTAATTCTACCAAAACTCAAAATTGAACTTTTTAAAATTCGAAGAAATTATCAAACTTCAAATATCAGTAAAATAAATTTCGACAACCTATACGAAATCAATAGAATCGCCAATCAGCTATCGCCAATAGATGAACCAAAGGACTCTTACCAAATTCCAATATTAACAATATTTTCAACGTTAATAATTTTATGTATAATGGTATTTTTATACATTTTTGTAAGAAGAAGATGCCAAAATTCAAAAACGAAAGAAAAAGAAGCCCTCAACATGGAGGAAATTCCAGAAAATTCGGACCGCAAAAATAACTCCCTTATTTTTGCGTCTTAAGGACGGAGGAGTTACGTGAGCGTATACAGCTGACATTCGGACTCCTTATCGTATCATATTATATTTCAGTGCTTAGCTTGTTATTTTAATCTTTTACATTAATTCTCTAGTTTATTAAATCAGATTTTGTCTAGCCTTTGCCATGCAAAGACGTTTGTAATTTTAATCAATAAAATTGTTTTTAAAAAACCTGTATCAGTTTCAAAATATATATTTCACTCACATTTTTTCTAGACAATCATATACCCCAAAAAAAAAAGAGGGAAAAAGAGTTATCGATGAAGATAATCTTTTCTATAATTAACTTAAAATAATCGTCTAATTTATTTGAAGAGAGATAAAAATAAATATGATCATCAATATATTACACAGGTGAATCTGTGCTGGTAAGCTTTAACTGAAATGGACTTTGTACGATGTAGGGGAAATACAAAAAATATAATGTACCAATTTACAAATTTACGTATAGTGGGCGATATCTTTCCTGATACCTGTGAGCCAATTAAGGAACAATATCAATATCTACCTAAAGAACAGGCTAAATTAACTATTTTAACTGTTAACTAATGAATGCTTCTAATTAACCAAGTAAATAAATACCTTGAAAAGGTCGATACTGATATTGTGTTGTAATAATAACTAATGAACCTGTTACAATTATTTTTGAAATTGCAGAAAATAACAACGAACTGAAAATTTAAAAATAAGTGCTGTAAGCTATAGTAAGAAAATCCCAAGAGTAGTCATTTCTGATATTTTGTGATGCATTGCGTAAACTAACTATTTCACTGGAATAATATGAAAGTCTCAGCTGTAACATTACTCGGGGTGGATAGTTTCTATTTTCCTGTATATTAGAGAGAGAGAGAGAGAGAGATATGCTTTATTGTCGTAAAAAAATTTACAAAAATTTTATAGACAAAGCGTGTAACTTAAATACTAAACATATTATAAAAATAACTAAACAGCAGAAAAAACAAACAGAAACAAACAGACAAAATAGGAATAACAATTGCAATGGATATGCAATATCCGTCATTATAATTATTCTAATTTAATTTTTAAATTTAAATTTAAACTTTAATATTTAATTATTTAATTAATACCATTGTATGTGGAACTCAAATGTCTAAGGTACGTTATAAAATTCTGCTACTGTGTAATATGGTCTTTCTAGAAGAAAAGCTTTAGCCAGTCTTCGGAACTTATCGTATGTATTTATAGATTTTAATTGCATCGGAAGGTTATTATACAATTTTTTGGCATTGTAGGTAATGGAATGTTTTAATAGGTCAGAAGTGGGCATTGTTAAATAAACATCAGTCTCTAAATTTCTTGTAGGATATCTACGAGTCGGTCTTTCGGATAAATTTTGAATGTGCTTGCGAACTAAGCAGACGGATTCGAAAATAAATAGAGCAGGAAGGGTTAGAATTTTGAAATTTTTGAAGTAATTTTCGCAATGTGTCCTACTACTTAAACCAAATACATAGCGGATTGCTCTTTTTTGCAGTTTAAAAATAGATTCGAAAAGGTATAAGCTACAAGAACCCCAGAAAGGTAAACCATAGCGAAGATGAGATTCGAATAAGGAAAAGTAGGTTATTAATGCAGTAGAAGGAGTCAGCTCTTTAGAAACCGATTTAATGGCAAAACATGCGGAGGAATATTTTTTTGCTAAGGTATCTATATGAGCAGACCATTTTAGAGAATCGTCTATATAAAGACCTAAAAACTTGATTGAAGTCACCGTTTGGATCAGATTATTGTTTAAAGTTATAGGTTGTAAAGTACCTCTGTAAGACAATGCTACAGTTTTACTGGTGTTGAAACAAAGTCCATTCGAATCAGACCAGGACTTAATAGTCACTAGATCTTCACTTATGATAGATTGTAATGTCTGCATGTTAGAATTATTCCAGGTTACACTGGTGTCATCAGCAAATAAAGTAATTCTACCACTTATTCTTAAGTCTGTGATGTCGTTGATGAATAATAAAAACAAAATTGGACCTAATACTGATCCTTGAGGTACTCCACTGCTTATTGCTAGATTTGTAGAATCCTCACCATTCACCCGCACCTGTTGATTTCTATTTTCTAGGTAAGTTTTAAACCATATAACGGAAAACATTCTTAATGAAATATACACATCACTTAATGATAAACTTTTCACCGCTTCAGTATTTTGTGACTTCGCAAAGGCCTTCGATTGTGTAAATCATGATATTTTAATTAATAAGTTACAAATTTATGGCATACGGGGTTCTCCTTTACAATGGTTTAAAACTTACCTAGAAAATAGAAATCAACAGGTGCGGGCGAATGGTGAGGATTCTACAAATCTAGCAATAAGCATATAAGCAAATAAGTCAACATTGTCCGACATTTTTGATCTAGAAAGATTACGATCTCCATTATGTTATTCTATAATCTATGTGTGAAGTACCTATATTGTAATTAACGTGAATTACTTTTTGGGAGATATTGATTTGTTTAAAAGATATTATCCAAATATCTTCAAAGTTAGTTTCCCAAGAATTTTGTGTAAATAAGGAAAATTTTATATTGACGGCAAATATAAAAAAAAATATAGAACTTCACGTCCTTCTTGTTTATGTGATGCAGTTGACTGACAATCTCTTCGAAATATAAAGAGCTACATAAAAAAATATTTCGATTTATTTATAAAATTATAATCACCTCCATTTTTTATTTAATACTCTTTTTATTTGAATACACTTTTTGTAAACTTATGTGTAAATGACCATTAGACGAACGATATATAAAATTTTAAATAATAACTAAATAAATAAGCAACTTTCAACGATTTAAAATTTAAATAATGGAGTAAAACATTATTATTTATAAAACAAACAATAACAAAAAATAAAATTCGTTTCCAATTTTTAATGTCAACAATATTTTAACTCTTTGTTTGGAATAGGTATATAGCGTTTGCTATTTTGATAAAAACTTTGACCCAAACAGTACCTATTGATAATTTTAGTATTAATAAATATGCCAATATGTTTATATAAATTAATGGATTATAATCTTTTATCTAAAACTTATTTATTGTGATATTTTAAGCCTTACACTTTCCACAACATGTCAATTAAATCATAGGCGTTTTGTCTGTAAGAAATTAAACGTAGTAATAATTTATAATATTCCTTTATTGACATAATTTGATTTGAGGATGTCATACTTGTATATCAATCTAAAAAATATGATTTGTACAACACATAAATTGAGTACGATCCATGTTTAAAATATGAATCAATGATAAAATTTATTTAAAACACTTTTCATATCTTCATTACCAATGAAAATACAGAAAGAATGAAATTTTGCCCGAAATATACCTTAAATTAAATAAAATCCCCTATAAAGTACCCCAGATATTCCGACTGTACCTGTATCCATTAAAAGTTATCAAGAATACAGACACATAGAAATACATCATCGCGAAAATGCTCAAAACCGATTCAAGTAATCCCAAAACGTAAAGATCCGTCGAAACCTAGAGGAAAATACTAAAGCATAAAATAGGAAAATAAAAATAAAAAAAAAAAATTACCAAGATTTTGGGGTTTATATTGGAAAAAATCAAATAAAAATATTAAGATTTAAACAATTTTATTTCATAAGGTGTATTAAACGGAGTCTTCAACAGTATACGAACTCACGTAATCTGGTAAATCAATAAATTTAATGAAAATGGCTGTTCTTAATGACTTTTTGTCAAATAGATCAATGACATCTTAAGGTTACTACTGAAGTTATTAATGTTAGTTTTAAGTTAACTGATGACATAAATTTAGTCACATGGGACACACGTATTGAAGAATCTGTACATCCCAAATTACTACAAAGGAAACGTTTTTTTAGTATTTTAAATTGTTTGTACCTATTACCTATAAAATACATTTATAATAAATTTGATTATCACTAAAATCATTCGAATACAAATTTTTGAATACGGTTCTGTCTACCTAGGCGAGATATTCGCAATCTGTGCAAGCACGAGCCACTTTTTTGTATAATTTTTTCTTCGCCAATTATTAACTATCCAAGTACTTATACTTTCTAAGATGAAATATTTTTACATTGGATTACTTGCGTACCTTTGAATTGCCGCCACTGTTGCCTTCCATCAATCGACCTTGAAGACATTTCATCGTCCTCAGTAATGCGAACATTGCTGCCGCGATTGGAATATGATATTCTATCTTGGTATTATCTGTTTTTAAAATTTTCACTGATAAAGTTTTAATGACAATTAATTTTTTTAACAATCATTTTAATCAAATCGGGTTGATCAATAGTGTCAAGTGGTTGGATCTGAGTGAAAAGTGAAAACTACTAAGAGTGGAAGTCTAAGTCATCGGCAACAACGTGGAAAGGTTAGTTTTGTTTATTGTTTATGTTTTACAGTTTTGTTTTGACTCCAACTACTGCAAATGCCAAAACAGATATTTTAAATATATAAAAAATAGAATTTACAACTAATTAACAGGAATAACTTGTTTTTTATTACTTGTAAAATGTAAATACCTTCTTAAGTAGGTATTTGCCCTAGTTTATTTCATTTTTATTATTTTGATTTATCAATTGACTAATTATTTGATCTTGAAATTTATCATGATTATTACAGACAGACGAATTTAAAAATATGTTTATCCTAGGTACTATTAGAAAGTAGAGTACCTGGTTACATACCTACAGTGCTTTTATTTCAAAACCAGTCAATATTTTACGTAAATATAAGAAAAATAAAAGACAATCCAATTCTTATTGGCAAGGGGACGAATTGTCATATAAAATTAATACCCGGAAATCCAACATCCTGGAACCCGGTAGCAACTCCTTATTTTTTTTAAATTGCAAGGTAATTTTGAAAGGTAATTTTATGGAAAATTCAGGAATATGAATATTCATTGCGGTACTTTTGATTTAGATTTAGATAAAGAACTGTTACGTATTGCAAAGTGTTACACTTCATTTGAAAGCTAATTTTATTAGTGATTTAAAGCCTAGCATAAATTTGTTATTTTAGTTGATTGCGATTAAAATTTGTATTTCTTAACTAGGGTTTCTTTGCAACTAGGTTTTTAGATTCTTTTCAAAAACCTAAAAGTGAAAATTCTACAATTTTATATGAGATAATACATTGCCTTACTCCCAAATTATAAGTTAATTAATTGTGATACTTTACGTTTGGAAGTTATTGACATGGTTGCATAAAAAAGTGAATGTTTCCCTAAAAAATAAAGTAAATGCTTACAATATATACATTTTTGGAAAGGAGAAGAAATGGTCTTTTTGAGGATGTTAAAAATTATAAGGTGTTCTATTTAAAATAAGCTCACAATTTTGGTTCAAAAAAGTTCGTTTTTTTTGGCACTTTCCAGAAAAAAATTACATGTGGCAACAATGTCAAGAAAAACTTGAAGTAAATGTAATCCTGATCTGTCAGTCGTTTTTCAAGAACAGAACACTTAATTTGAATATGTCGCTAAAAAATTGATAATATTATACTCATTTAATAAGTCAAATCGGTTTTTTAGAGAGCTTAAAATTTGATTTATAATTTTTAAGAAAAACACTAATTTTAAAGACGGTTTTTGGATCATAAGGGGTCTCAGTATAATTCTGTCATTTTCTATCAAGAGAACTTGAATTATTGATAATTTTGTAGTAAATGAATTATGTAATAGTTTCATTGCGATATAATATATGATTAAAGCAAGCTGTAAACATATAAACAATAAAAACATTAAGCCGTGTTAGTTTTTATTATCCAAAGATTACCTACGGATACAAAGCATAAAAGTAATAACCTAAAAAAAGGTTTTATTCGATTTTTAACATTCAAATATTATGTATACCGGATTATCGTTAACAATGTGGATATTCTGCTCACAATTAAGTTTATTATAACATTATGTAACCAACCATTTTGTACAGTTGATTGCCTCAATAACTGACATTGTTTCGTTTATTCGTTTTCGTAAAATGTACACGGTTATTCGGTGTATGAGATTGAAATAAAAATGTAAATTAAAACTTATTTATAACTGCAGTGTTATTCAAATTTAATTATTTAATAATATGTTTGTTGTATCTAGGAATTTCCACAAACATTGACGTACGGTTTTTAAAAAATTTATTTTATACGAGGGGTGTTCTATTACCGCTGAGCCTATTTAATAGGCGATGATATTTTTGTACCATATTTTGTCTGACAGTTCAATCTAGCTATTTCCAAATTTGGTTAGTAACATAATTGTTACATAAGGTTAAAGCGAAAGTCTAATTGCACTTAATTATAGTTCCAAATTAATTTGAAAAGAATAAAAAATAAAGAGCTAAGATTTTAAAAACAATAACATACATTTAAACAATTATAAAAAAATAAAAAGAAGACAAGCAAATAATAGTAGATAGACAAAGTTACCATGGGCTCACATAGGGAATTCAATGTGTAAGAGTGAAAGGTACAAATTCAGTAGGTAAGAGTGAGACAGAGTGTATCACGTGGTCCGATTCAAACGGAAAAAACGGGACTATGTAGAGAATACCCAACTAACAAAGTAGCTTTATAATTTTTAGTTTACAAGACTATTATATTTTATTGATATTATATTGTTGTTTCTGGAATGCTAATTTATTGTACTACAGTTGCAGAAATCACTATTTTGTTCTCTGAAACTAAATAGTTATATAAATTAGTTTTTACAATATTCTTACAGCAAAATTATAAAATAGTTTTCACGATAACTATGAAATTGTTACATAAACATTTATACAACTGTTCTATACAATATTTCAGCTTATAAAGTAAAATTGCTTTATAGTTATTCTATATTATTGTTCTGGATTACCTTTAGAACTTTTTGGTCATACAAATATAACTGTTTCTTAACCTCATAATAACGCTTTAAAAAATAGTTATATAAATATTAGTGTGAGATAATTCCGCATCAATAGCAATTTGCTTCTGATGAAAACTCTAAAATAACTGTAATATATTGTCGAAATACACTATTATTTTAGTTAAGAATAGTATTATCCCTTTAAAAATATTTATAAAAAAATAAAGCAACTACATTTGGTAGTACGCCATATTATTTTTGTATTTTATGTTTGTTCGACTACTTCCCATACCAATTGTATGTAAGTGTATGGTCTGAAAATGTCAGATTTAAATAGTGAAGAAATATAAAAAATAAGTGGTACCTGCTTTTCAGAGAACAGTAAAAAATATTAGTAAAACATTTTGATGGTTTGTCTAGACACAAAAAAAAAAACTATCATTTAGCCAGATAATAATTAGGTATGTTCTGAATAATCATGCCCCAATACTAAAAGAAAGCCATATTTTTGGCGATGTCCATGTTAAATTTGCTTATTCTCGTAACATTAAAAATTATGCTTGCTCTATAAATCTGTAGAAACAAATCTAATCATTTCAATTCCCAAATACTTAAATCGGAAACGATTTAGTAAGGTTATGTTATATTTTGTCATATAGTGCAGCCGTATGAAACTATTATACAACAAACCATGATGAACTTGTTTTGTAGAAATGAGTAGTACAACTTAATTATTGTATTACAGCTGTTTTTACTACAATAATATTTTATAATTATGATTCAGTCTTAAAATAACTTTCTAATACCTCTGAATAGCTGCCATATTTAACAAAAACCTAAGACAGTTTTAAAGCTAAATCTACTGTCGGTTTTACTAGTATTTAAGACAAAACCAATGTTAATTAAAGATTTTAATCATTAGTAATATTAGCATAATCTTATTACTAAAAAAAAATCAAATTTCATAAATTTAATTTTTGTTTCACACTGAAAAAGTATTAGAAATATGAATCAAACTCGAGGCGCTTAAAAATTTAGTATTGTATGTGCTATATAATTAACAGTAATTCTTGCTGCGCATCCAAAAACGACTTTATTGTAGGTCATACATTATGTCTAAACCGCGTTATAGATATCTCTTAAGTAAATACTGCCATTTTACTAATATCGCCTTGAATTTACTTTTATGACAAATATAGAATTAATTTGTTTTCACCAGATACATTTAAAAAACTAAAATGTTACTGATTTTGATATGCAACCTAACCTCAAAATTGAAACTTTATAAAACAGTTATAAAAGTTTAAAAAAACATTTGTTTAAAGTCTGTGTAAATGTGTAGTAACAGTTCGGTAACTGCATTCAACAAATCTTATAGAATTTACAAAAGAACCAAATAGTTCTGTAATACTGCGCCCATTTTGTGTTTATTACTGTTGAAAGAATGTTCCGGAAATGTTCTTAGCTAATATTCTATTTTATAAATTTTGTTCTGTAAACATTTTTTCAGCTTTTATAAAATATCAAATTGTTACTTGGGTATGGTATATATTAACATAGAAGAGAAAAAACACGCAGAACGAAACGCCAGAATGGCCTTAGCGTGTATGTTTATTACTATTGGTCCGATTCAAACGGGAAAAACGGCGTTATGTAGAGAACGTAGTATAGATGAAGGGTGAAGAGAAAAATCGACGTTTTGTTTGACGTTTTAGTTTGACGTTTTAGTTTGACGTTTTAGTTTGACGTTTTCGTTTGACGTTTGTCGTTATTAAAAACTAATTACAATTATGTTAAAAACAATTCTCAAATCGATGTAATCGACCTTTTTATGGAGATTTTATCCCTTCACAAACATCATTAATGGCCATTATGAAAAGAGTGGGACATAAAACAGATCCTTGCGGAATTCCGTTTTCTAAGTCCATTGTTGAGGAAAATACACCATTATTATATTTTTTTATTAATAATTTTTTAAATACCTTTGATAGATGACTAATCACTGATATGGGTCTGTAATTATTTACAGATGCTTTGTCACAATTTTTGTGGATTGCTATTACAATAGAGTTCTTAACAATCCTTCATTAACAAATTTATTTATTATTCATGTAAATGGTGTCGATATATAATTTGCAACTTTTTGTTAAAATTTGCTCTAATGTCATCATGTCCAGGTGATTTATTATTTTTGAGGTAACACATTAGGTTAAATATTTCTTTGTCGTCAGTAGGAACTAATAACATTGAATTTGGTAGAATAAAAAACAGACTCCCCATATTTTCTCCTTGTAATAAAAGGTGACAAAAAGACCAACCACAAAATATACCTCGATTATATATTCTCGGTGAGAATCTAAACAGTCTAACAATTAAATTTATATCGAATTTAAAGTTACAATATCAAATTTCTGCACAGTTATCGTTAAACTTAACAAAAACCTGATTACTGGTGGAATAAAAAGGGATATTATAACCATCTATGAGAAATATTGGTAAATTTCAACAACAAACTTTGTGAATTTACT